AACGGGTGGAAACTAAGCAAGGAGAGAAGCAACCTAGAACTAAGGAGAAACTTCCTGACAGTTAGAACAATTAACCAGTGGAACAACCTGCCTCCAGAAGCGGTGAATGCTCCAACACTGGAAGTTTTTAAGAAGAGACTGGACAGCCATTTGTCTGAAATGGTATAGGGTTTCCTGCCTGAGCAGGGGGTTGGACTAGGTGACCTCCAAGGTCCCTTCCAACTTTTATTATTATTATTATTATTATTATTATTATTATTATTATTATTATTATTATTATCATCATTATTATTATTATTATATTATTATTATTATTAAAACCTTTTATAAGGTTAGTCCTCGACTTACGACCGCAACGGAGTCCAACATTTCTATTGCTAAGCGAGAGAGTCATTAAATAAATTTTGCGTTGTACGATCTTTCTTGCCACCGTTGTTAAGTGAATCACTGCAGTTGTTAAGTTAGTAACCCGGTTGTGAAGTAAATCTGGCTTCCCCATTTGACTTCGTTGGTCAGAAGGTCGCAAACGTTGATCATGTCATCCTGGGACGCTACAGCTGTCATAAATATGAGTCAGTTGCCAAGCATCCGAATTTCGGTCATGGGATCAAAAGGGTCATGGTGGCCCAGTGGCTAGAATGCAGTATTGCAGGCTAACTCTGCGCACAGTCTGGAGTTCGATCCTCACCAAACTCAGTCTTCCGTTCTTCTGAGGTCGGTAAAATGAGGACCCAGATTGTTGGGGGCAAATATGCTGACTCTCTACTCAGAGAGGCCTGTAAAACAGGGCTTTTCAACCTTTTCACCCATTGTACCACTTTTACGATATGGCAACATCCGAGTACCACCAGTCGCCTAGCAAGGTGTCAAAAACTTGATGACCCCCCCAAAAAAGGAAAAAAGTGATGAAGTACAGGTAGTTGACTTACAACAGTTCGCTTAGTGACTGTTCAAGTTACAATGGCACTGAAAAAACTGCCCCCCAAGCCATACCCGAGCAAGACACCTGCCTGCCCGCCCGGTGGCGCTCTTCCTCCTGTCCGAGGTTTCATTGTTGTGAGCATTTCTGTTGAGGATTGGCAGCGGGGGTGGGGTGAGGGGGTGTTTGGTTTTTATTCCCCCCGTCTGCTGGGTGGTTGCAGCAGGTTTTGGTCACTTCACATGACCCTGGGACACTGTGACCATCATAAATATGAATCAGTTGCCAAGCATCTGAATGTAAATCACAAGACTCTGGAGATGCTGCAACATTCCAGCTGATCGGCGCTTCTTCTGGGCTCAGCGGAAGCGCCAGGATCAGCGCAGAGCTCCAGCTGGAGCCTGGCGCTGATCCTGGCACTTCCACTGAGCTCTGACAGCCCCAAAGAGCCGATCAGCTGGAAAGTAGCACTGATCCTGGCGCTTCCACTGAGCCCTGACAGCCCTGCAGCTCCAGTCATCTCTCACTCAGGCTTGTGCGGTGCTGCCACCGGTTGAGCTCATTCCCCTCCCCCGCTACCACTTTTCTAGGATGGTCGCGTACCACCTGCCAAGTGCCAATGTACCACAGGTGGTTCCCATACCACTGGTTGAAAAGCCTTGCTGTAAAACACTATGAAATGGTATATAGATGCTATTGATATTGCTATGTGACATGGGGGTGCTACAGTGGTGGTAAGTCTGAAAAAGTGTGAAAAAGTTGTAACTTCAAATGGTCACTAAGTGAACTGTTGTAAGTCGAGGACTACTTGCGCACACGGCAAATCATTTTTCTGGACAACCAAAGCCACTCACAACATTTCAAATCCCGTGTGGCTTTTTTGGATGATGAAAGAGCTTATTTCTCTGTGGGAAAGTTTTCCGACCCTCGGGTTCATTCGTACGGCTTGGGTTCCACGTGGGTTCGCTGATGTCTAGTCACCTTTTCCTTCTGGGAAAAACTCTTCCCACACTCCACACACGCAAAAGAGTGGATTCTCTGGTGCCAAATTAACTGGGCACTCTGGCAGAAGCATTTCCCGCACTCGGCACAAACGCACGGCTTTTCTCAGGTGTGCATCCTCAAGTGGATGTCAAGGCAGTATTTCTGGCTGAAGTTGTTGCCACACTGAAAGCAATTGTAAGGTTTCTCCTCCATGTGCATCCTCCGGTGCCGTATCAGCTGCCCGCTCTGGAAGAAACTTTCGCCGCATTCGGGACACTCGAACGGTTTCTCTCCCGTGTGGATCCTGTGATGGTTGACCAGCGAGGACCTGTGGCTGAAACTCTTGGCGCAGTGGAGACACCTGTACGGCGGCTTCTCGCCCCTGTGGATTCTCTGGTGGCTGATCAGATACGAGCGAGCGCTGAAGGTTTTCCCGCACTGGGGGCATTCATAAGGCCGCTCCTCCAGGTGGATCCTTTGATGCTCCAGAAGATTGTCTTGTCGGCAGAAGCTTTTGCCGCACTCGAGACACTCGTAAGGCCGCTCGGCTGTGTGGATCATCTGGTGGACGATCAGCCCCGACTGGTGCTCAAAGGTCCGCCCGCATTTGCGACAGATGTGGTGCTCTGCTCCAGCACAAATTAGGCCGACGTTATCCGCCATGATGTCCTTCTCTTTCCGAAGGTTTAGGCTCTGTGTCTTCACGGGGGTCGTTCTGTGCTGTCGCTCAGACTCGTAACCCTGATCGAAAGGTTCTGACTTCATGGAAAGGGACCCCGGGAAATCTTTCCGTGAGATTCCCTGAGAACCTGCTGGCTGGAGGACGCCATTCAGAGGAATCCTGACCGTGTCCTCCTTACCGGCTGAGCCATCGCCTGATGGGAGAAGGAAACAAGCAGAGATATGGGGTCAATCCAGTGGTGGGATTCAGCCGGTTCGGGATAACCGGTAGCTAAATTTACCTGAATTCGGAGAACCGGCTGGCTTCTGGAAGTCCAGTCTAGGCCTCGGAGGCCTCCCAAGCCTAGAACGGCCCACCAGAAGTGCATGGATACCACTTCCGGAAGTCCGTTCTAGGCCTCGGAGGGCTGGAGAAGGCCTCCCAGGCCTAGAACGGCCCATCAGAAGTGCATGGATACCACTTCCGGAAGTCTGTTCGAGGCCTCGGAGGGCTGGAGGAGGCCTCCCAGGCCTAGAACAGCCCATCGGAAGTGCGTTGATGCCACTTTCGGAAGTCTGTTCTAGGCATCAGATGCCTGGGGGAGGCCTCCCAGGCCTAGAACGGCCCACCGGAAGTGCATGATGCCACTTCTGGAAGTCCGTTCTAGGCATTGGAGGCCCAGGCCTGCATCACATAATACAATTCAGGTATTTGAATCCCACCACTGGGTCAATCCACGTAGCAGACAAGAAGGAAAAATATTTACAATAGTGCTCGGCTTACGACCGTTCATTTAATGAACGTTCGAACGGCTTACGACCGTTCGAACGGCTTACAACCGTTCATTTAATGACCGTTCGAACTTATGACAGCACGGATCTAGGACTTTTCCTGCGCTGATAATGGCAGCATCAAAACTGATGTATTTCTCTGTGGTCTAAATGGGGAAATCCATTTGAGTTGTCAGAAAAAGTGGAAATCAGGAGTCTTGAGTAGCTCAATAGCAAAATCCACTTTGCTACTAAAGAGCACCAAGATATGGCTCTTCTTCACAGTCTTTACAGGGGGTCCTCGACTTTCAACCATTCATTTAGTGACCGAAGTTACAACGGCACAGGAAAACGTGACTTATGACGTCTTCCACACGACCGTTGCAGCAATCACGCAATCAAAATTCAGAGGCTTGGCCCCTGGCATGTATTTATGACAGCTGCAGTGTCCCGGGGTGACGGGATCCCCTTTTGCGACCATCTGACAAGCAAAGTCAGCGGGGGAAGCCAGATCCACTTAACAACCGTGTCACTAATTTAACAAGTGCAGGGATTCACTTAACAACTGTGGCAAGACAGGATATAAAATGGGGCAAAGCTCACTTAATAAGTGTCCTGCATAGCAATGGGTAATTTTGTGGTTGTAAGCCACTAGCAGCTGTTCAACAGGTTACTCACGTTCACAGTCCACGAGGGCCGAGCAAACAACCTCCGGAAATTCTTGGGGTAATATCTTGGGCATTTCCACCAAGTGAGGATGAACGTCTCGTGGTGATAGACTTTCTTCTTGGATCTCATTTGCAGTCAAGATATCTAGCGAGAAACAGAGAGAAAGGGAAGTAAAAGGGACCTTCTCAGCAGGTGGATGGAAAAATAAAGGGTGTATGTGTGTGTGCAAACAGGGTACAGCATCAGAGAACAAGCCCTGCCCCTTTCCTATGTGGGTTTCAGCACAATAAGAAAAAGATGTTGAGACTCTGGAAAGAGTGCATAGAAGAGCAACAAAGCTGATCAGGGGACTGGAGGCTAAAACATATAAGGAACGGTTGCCGGAATTGGGTATGTCTAGTTCAGGGGTCTTCAAACTTGGCCCTTTTATGACTTGTGGACTTCAACTCCCAGAATTCCTCATCCAGGCATGCTGACTGAGGAATTCTGTGAGTCATAAAGGGAGTCATAAAAGGGCCAAGTTTGAAGACCCCAGGTCTAGTTTAACGAAGAGAAGGACGAGGGGAGACATGATAGCAGTCTTCCAATATCTCAGGGGTTGCCACAAAGAAGAGGGAGTCAAGCTATTCTCCAAAGTGCCTGAAGGCAGGACAAGAAGCAACAGATGGAAACTAATCAAAGAGAGAAGCAACCTGGAACTAAGGAGAAATTTCTTAATAGTGAGAACAATTAACCAGTGGAACGACTTGCCACCAGAAGTTGTGGATGCTGTTATCAGCGGAGGCTTTAAGAGATTGTACAGCCATTTCTCTGAAATGGTATAGGGCAGTGATGGCGAATCTTTTAGAGACCGAGTGCCCAAAAACTGCCCCGCCCCCGCTTCACCCCCTGCCCCGCCCTTGCTCCACCCCCACCCCGTCCCCTGCCCTGACTGCCTGCAGGGCCACTCACCGCCTCCAGGGCCCGCCGCAGATCGCCCAGTCAGCCCAGCAGCACCATGGAGGCCACACCCTCTGCCCGTGCCCTGCAGCATCAACTGTGCGCGATGGGGCGTGATGGCAGAGTCTTGTCTATGCTGCCTGGCTGCCATATATTGGCTGCACTGCTCTGCGTGGGCCACGGTCGGGGCGACTGTCCTGCAGGGGGGCTGCTGGTAAGGAGGGGGGTGCGGCAGACATGAGGCTGGGGCAACAGCACGTTTGCCCATAGAGAGGGCTCCGAGTGCCGCCTCCGGCACGCGTACCATAGGTTCACCACCACTGGTATAGGGCAGGGGTAGGCAACCTTGGCTCTTTTACGACTCGTGGACTTCAACTCCCAGAATTCCTGAGCCAGCCATGCTGAGGGGAAAGGGAAAGGTTTCCAAGCTGAGCCAGGCTGGCTCAGGAATTCTGGGAGTTGAAGTCCACGAGTCATTAAAAGAGCCAAGGTTGCCTACCCGGTATAGGGCCCCCTGCTCAAGCAGCGGCTTGGACTATGTTCTATGTTCTACCTGTGCCGTCATACTGAATGCCCGCCCCCAAAAGGGCAGAGCTGATAGCCCAACACTGCAGGGCTGTTGTTCTCATTCTAGCAGAAGCAGTGAAAACATATGGGTGCTGTTAAATGACTTTGTGACATGGTGCAAGAGGAGATAAAAAGAGAGATGGCAACTTTGGAAGCAATTTATTGTAGACCCAGTGCGATAAAAGTTGCAAGAGGTAACAAGTTGCAAGGTACGAGGGCATCCCAGATTTTTTATTCCCCCCCCCATAAAGACATCGCTCTACCTGTAATTTTTTCCCTTTCCGTTGGCTCAGAAGACCAGATGTATGTTTCTCCTCCTTCTTCCAACTGGGCAATAAGGTTTGGCTTGGAAATCAGAAATCCTTTTAAAAAGAAGTACAAGTTAGACCTTGACTTACAACAGTTTGTTTAGTGACCGTTCAAAGGTACAACGGCGCTGGAAAAAGTGAGTTATGATTTTTTCACACTTACAACTCTGGAAGCATCCCTATAATCACGTGATCAAAATTCAGACTTTTTCTGTTTCAAAATATGAAAAATGTAAGTGTTGGGATGGTTCATATGAGGAAGAAGATTTAAATATCAAAGTGTAATTAACTCTAAGAAAATTTTAACAGGTAAAATGTTTTCTTTTGAAATATTATGGGGAAAATAAATTCAAATGAGAACTTTAAAAAGAGGATCTGTGACAAGGTGATCGAGACGATTAATGAGAAAAAGAAGCTTCATCATGAGGTGGAGGTTATTTGTAGATATTTAATTGTTATCTTTTAAAATTATCAGGAAATATATACTAATTCAAGGTTGATAAAAGAGAATATTATGGGAAGAAGAGAAGACTATGTGTCAAAGCAAGAACATCCAATGTTAGCAGCGTTGTTAATCGGAACCATGATACTATGTGGAATATGGAATTATAGAAACTAATTGTTATTATTTGTAAATACAAACGCAGACAACACAGTGTTTGCCAAATGTCGATGGTGATATGTAAAAAAAACCCCAATAAAACATATTTTTTTTAAAAAAAATTCAGACACTTGACAACAGACTTATATTTATGACGGCTGTAGTGTCCCGGAGTCACGCGATCAACTTTTGTGACCTTCTGACAAGCAAAGTCAATGGGGAAGCCGGATTCACTTAACAACCATGATACTAACTGAACTGCAGTGATTCACTTAACAACCGTGGCAAAATTTACCTAACGACTCTTTCGCTTAGCAATAGAAATGTTGCGGTCGTAAGTTGAGGACTAATCCTATAAAAGGTTTTTGTCCAAAACACATTAAGAAAAAGTCTGGACTCTCTGAATGTTAGAAGAAATAACACAAGAGAAACGAGGAAAAGGCCTTGCTAGATTAGAGTCCTTTAATGCTGTTTCTTATAATAGTTGTCAGATACTTAAGAAATTTTGAGCATTAGAAAATTCTCTTCTTGGCATTGAGCAGAGCTAGGTCACTTTGGCTCTTTTATGACTCGTGGACTTCAACTCCCAGAATTCCTGAGCCAGCCATGCTGAGGGGAAAGGGAGAGGTTTCCAAGCTGAGCCAGGCTGGCTCAGGAATTCTGGGAGTTGAAGTCCATGAGTCATAAAAGAGCCAAGGTTGCCTACCCCTGGCATTGAGCATAGTACAGGTGGTCCTCAAATGACAGCCATTTGCTTAGTCTCCATTTCAAATTACAACGGCGCTGAAAGAAGTCACTTACAACTGGTCCTCCCCCTTCCGTCACATTTCCACAGTCACGTGATCAAAATCTGAGCACTTGGCAACTATACTTATGACGGTTGCAACACCCCAGGGTCACATTATCGCCATTTGCAACTATTTTCCATATAACCTTCTCAGCCTCCTTCCAACCAGCAAAGTCAATGGGAAAGGCCCGATTTGCTTAAGGACTGCATGATTCAATTAAGAATTGCAAAGATTTACCTCATAATTGTGGCGCAAAAGACCATAAAATCAAATGTGACTTACTTAACGACTGCCTTGCTTAGCAACGGAAATTCTGGTCTCAGTAATAATAATAATAATAATAGTAAAGTTGGAAGGGACCTTGGAGGTCATCTAGTCCAACCCCCTGCTCAGGCAGGAAACCCTATACCATTTCAGACAAATGGCTGTCCAGTCTCTTCTTAAAAACTTCCAGTGTTGGAGCATTCAGTGCTTCTGGAGGCAGGTTGTTCCACTGGTTAATTGTTCTAACTGTCAGGAAGTTTCTCCTTAGTTCTAGGTTGCTTCTCTCCTTGATTAGTTTCCATCCGTTGCTTCTTGTCCTGCCTTCAGGCGCCTTGGAGAAACTCCCTCTTCTTTGTGGCAGCCCCTGAGATATTGGAACACTGCTATCATGTCCCCCCTCGTCCTTCTCTTCATTAAACTAGACGTACCCAATTCCAGCAGCCTTTCCTTATATGCTTTAGCCTCCAGTCCCCTAATCATCTTTGTTGCTCTTCTCTGTACTCTTTCTAGAGTCTCAACATCTTTTTTACATCGCGGTGACCAAAACTGGATGCAGTATTCCAAGTGTGGCCTTACCAAGGCCTTGTAAAGTGGTAAGTTGAGGACTACCTGTATTCTGCTTTATATCAGTGAGAAATCATCGTATTGGGCAGAAAAATGTACAATTTATTGTGCCGGCAGTGGCACAGATTTTAGGAAGTCTTTGATCATCCACGTTGTAAAATAATTTTAGCCTCTTTAGTTTAAATCTCACTGAAGGGTTGTCTTTTAGACTAGGGGTCTTCAAACTTGGCCACTTTAAGACTTGTGGACTTCAAC